TTTATGAAAAAAGACATCTCCTTATCGTGCAACTGAAAGTTGCTGATGGCTTGCGCCATCTATCAGAATAAATATTAACTATATTCTCGTTGATTTCTAATTATTCCAGATTTGGCCAATTACCCATTCTTGATTAATCAAGAAAAGCTAACCACGAACGCGTTTCGGGCTGTTGGCCCTCATCAGCGTGGTGCAAGCTGTACCTCAACGATAAAAAAAACTGGTCCTTCAGGCATCTTGAAAAATCATGAAACGGGTAGTTCAGGCCAGAATTGCGTGAGACCGCGACACAATGTGAAAAAATAGTATAAATGTGATATTGTACTGGGATAAGGTTCAATAGATAAAGTATTATTAAGATATATATATATATATATATATATAAGTAATATTATATTTTTAACGATTATATAAAAATTGATAATACAGTTGAATTTGAATAATTCAAAGCCCAAGGGACTAAAAAAATCGATTTATCCAAAAATTCGAATTAGACATTTTGAATAAAAGGCTTAAAAGTCTAGGGATCAAGATAAATATTGGAATTAAAGATGTACAAATTATCCAAGTTCTACTGTATTTAAAAATAGGTTTTAATCAAGATATGGAAATAAGGAATAATTTGTTTTGAAAATAGAGCAATTCATATTTAATTCATTAGATAGTAAAAAGGCATATATTGGATTTAATAAAATATTTATTTTGCCAATATTTCGGCTGGGTGAATGCCAACCTTTATCAAAAATGTAATGCCTCGATAAAGGTTGGCATTCAGCCAGCCGAAATATTGACAAAATAAATATTTTATTAAATCCAATATGTGTCTTTGTTTTATCTAATGAATAATTTGTAAGCTTCAGAGTTACTGAGTTAGTAGAGAGAGATTGAGATTGAATATACTTGTATTGATCGTACATATAAGATTACTAGCCGAATGACCCGGGCAACGCCCGTGTTTTACCCGATTGAATGTTTTGATTCAAATACTATTTGTTACAATTATAAATTGGCGCCTTAAATAAATGCATATTTTAGTTAATAACTATAGCCTATGTGCTTTATCTGCCTATGTACTGTTGGCTTCCGTAGGCGTCTCTTACTGGGAAAAAGAAAGAGAGGATTCCATTTAGTTATTAACTAATATATGCATTTATTTAAGGAGCGACCCGCTCCAACACAATAGTTACAAAAACGAAAAAGCGAGTGGGGGGGGGGGCAAAGGTGGCGTGATCGTAGCCAACCAATATGAGGGCGCCATTCCAAAAAAAAAAAAAGCAAACGGTGACAGACATGAAAAATGAATGACGGATTAAGAACGCATGACGCTCGTAACTGTATATAGAATATAAGGTTAATAGGAGAGAAAAAAGTAAAATTAAATATTATTTTCATCAGAGGAATCCCACTGATGGTCGTCGTCTGGTATGATGTCACGTCCGGACAGATCTCCCCGACTATTGTCTCCATGTCGAGGAACAGACCTCTGCTCAGACGTCAGGTCCTCCCTGTTAGAAGGGGAGACTCCCTATAATATACAGGGGTTCTAGGATGGTTGGCATTCAAGCTCTCGTCCTCTACCTGCTGTAAAGTGGTCTGTAGAGACTGTTTCTCTTGGAGATTTGGTTTTGTGGATTGGATGGTTGGTACATTTTTTGAATGGTAGAGAGAATTGACAATAAACATATTTGTATTGACATCTTGTCAATACAGGTAAAGTGCACAGTCCGCACTAATTATGAGAAATTAACAATAGTGAAAATGATGATAAAAACGAAAAAATATACTATATACAATGACATTGTACATGCCGCCTCAGCCACTGCTGCAGAGCTTGAAGGAAGATCGCCAGCGGGTCTCCAGAGATACCACGTATTTCGCGATCTACGAAGAAAGGAATAGAGAGAGATTGAAACACTTTTTATTGACATCTTGTTAATTAGGTTTTACAAAATTGAATGAAAAATAATGGGAATATTTACAATGAATTATGAGTGAGGGAGACTCCACCATTTTGATAGGGTCCTCCTCCAGACCAGGAGAGGGTCTTCTTGGACCCCCCGCAACTCCAGGGCCAGGAAGTATTTGTAAATGCGGGCCTTGGCAGATGCCATGATGGCCAAGGCGTTGGCCAAGTAATAGAGAGAGAGAGATGTGTCGATAATTTTTTCATATAACTTTGAAATTTCTAATTTCCAAGCCTTCTTTTTTATATCTCTCTCTCGAGAGACTCTACTGTATATACAATACTGAAGATCTTAATAAGTGTTACACTGATTGATTTATGGTTTTTTCTTAGATAAATCTCTCGCTCTTAAAACTTCAGATTTGATGGATATACTCTTTCTACATAACCTATTCCCCTATAGGGGAATTCTTTATCTCATCCACAATCTAGAAGGGGTACCACAAAATCTAAAATAATTTATTAAAGATTTGAAGTACCTTCATTTCCCCTCTTCTTTAGTAGGAACTAAAGTTTACTGATAAAAATTGATTCAATCATTTATATATTTGGCGAAACCGCTGGGAGGGTTCACCATTGATGAGTCAGGCCCTCCCATTAATTTTTCCATTGCAGTAAGGAGAGTAGAAACTGTTTACTTTTTAAAAAGAATCATACGCGTATAATAGTTTCGAAATTTCATATATTTGGTGTGGAGACGCTTAAAGTGTTCTCTGCGTGGTTTATCCGTGTCTGGCTATCTCCTCGCATACCTGTGTAACCCCGGTCCGATCCCTACCAACGCAACAATAAAGATAAGTACTGTGTGTGTGTGTTTTTTATTTTATTTAATAAATTGTGAATTATTATTTACCTCTTTTTTTTTTTTTGGTGTTATACTCTTGAGTGTACGATTTTTGTGTGTTTAGTTACTATTACTCCTGGCCCTAGTAATTTGAAACGTTGTGTGTTATCCCGTGAATAGTAACTTTTGAAAAATTACTGTAAAATTATTGTAGTAAATTTTATTGTCATCTATCAAGTATCATCACTACAGACATTATTACAATGATGAGTTATTGAATGAGAGGGCTTAGTTGATCAGTGGTGAATCCTCTCAGCGGTTTAGTAAAATTAATCTTCAGACCGCTTTACTATTGTATTAGATTGGTTTTCTTGTATGTCGTGTATTTACGATTGAAGGGAGCCTAGGTTCAATTTAATCATTCCTGAAGGATTCCATCTAGAAAACGTATTTACATATTCTAGGTAAACTTGACGATCTATTTTCAAAAAGTCATATTACCATATAAAATTCTTGGTTTCTCAAGAAGCCTCTGGGGCCAAAATATTTTTGGTGGCTGTGGTACAGCCTACTCCACGCTGACGAGCGCCAACATCGCAAATTCGATAACAAGAAATTGGGTTGGCCAAACATCAGGCAACAGGTTAAATCAATGTTTAGTTTATTTTTGTTCCACTAGATGGCGCTCTGCCATCTAAAAAGCACATGTGCTCCTGGTCACGAGATATGTCTTTTTTATTTTTAATATATAAGGTTGTTCCAAAAGTTCGTGTTTTTCTTATTAATTGACAAATAATATTATTACGGCGAATACATAATACAATTACTTTAGATATAATACAAAGACATTATACATAACGGCGAATAATATTGGTATTTCATTTTTTTACAAATGTTTACGAACTTTTGGGAAAACCATGTATTTATAAAGATTTTGGTCAAGGGGAAATAAAAGAAAACTTTTTCTGACCTAAATTTCCCTTTTTTCAAAAATAAATTGATGATATACACATGACGTTTAGGGAACAGCACTTCTATATTTAGAAGTTAGGTCAGTTTTCACTTTCAGTCTATACGGGAACCCCAAACTTTCTTCTTTTCAACCATCTCTCCCCTCTAAATTGGTCTTGGGGGGAATTTTCAACCTTGGCTTACTTAGTTGGTGATCGGTAAAGATGGTCTGGGATGACGACAAGGTCATTGATGTCAGGGGTTGGCCAAGTATTTCATAAGATGCGAGTTAGCTAAGGGATCTTCTCCTTTCTTCTTCTTTATAAGGGTTAATTAATCAACAAAGCATCTAAATGAATGATGATTACAGGTGCTTCTGTATTTTACACAAAATTAATCAATGTGGCGTTTATCCCCTTTTCAACAACTTTATAATCCTCTGAAGACAATTTGAAAATTCAAACAATTCTATTTATTTTCTTATCAATTGTTACAAAGGTGGAAAATATATATAATAAAATAGTTTTTTTTTTTAAATTATCCCTAGTACACGTGGTGCAGGCCATGATAATCATGGTGGGTAGTTAGCGACTGCTTTTACTGTAAGCGCCACCACATGTCTACACATATAAAAAGCAGTTCGACTTTGCACTTACAAATATGCCAGAGCCCCGTTTGTTTACTTGCACTCGCTGGTGGGGTTGGACTTTTATAAGAATCGGGGGGCCATTGGAGAATAAAATAGTAAATAAAGGGTAGATAAAATGTAGGGGAATATATATAGTTGTGTATGTGTACAAATTTCTTCTGCAAGAGAGGTTTCCCTATCTTGAGAGAGTCCTTCTAAAGACACTCCTCAGTTCCACGCCGAGGAAGTACTTATAGATGTGTGTCTTGGCAGACGCCAGGATAATCCCCTGAAGAGATAATCATTGATGTTGATTTTTCATTCAGAAGAGACCTTATCTACTTGAATAAATAACGCATATGTAAATATTTATCTGAAGTCGAGAGATATCATAGAAACAATCTTTCACATAATGTGTATGGTACCAATATCAAGTATTGATTTATCTCTATATATATGAAAGTCAATTTCTGTCTGTCTGTTTCGCGATAAACTCAAAACTACTGAACCAATTGGTACCAAATTTTGCATGTCGCTTTTTATAAACCTGAGGAAAATTTTCGGCTGCATTTTGATTAGTATTTTTGGCTATTTCTTTTTTTCATTTGAAGAACTTTTTTTTACGCGGACTAATCCGGAATGGAATGAATACCTAAATATGGCTATTTTTTTAAGCATCGGTGGTTCAGTGGTAGAATGCTCGCCTGCCACACGGGCGGCCCGGGTTCGATTCCCGGCCAATGCATTTTTTTTTTTAATTTTTAAAACTCATTTATATTATATATAATATAAATATATATTATTATATCAACTATATTAATTAAATCAAATACCTAAACACTAATATAATACAATTTTTGCCATCACACACACTTTTTTCCTGTAGTTTATGTGTTGATTCTGTATTGCTATTCTATGGCATTTTAATATTTATAATTGATATACTTTTAGTATGAAGGAAATTGCACCCAAGGAATTTCTCGGGCGAAGCCGGGTCATTCGCCTAGTATATATATATAACATATATATATGTTATAATTATAATGTTTTGATGTTGGAATGATAAAGAATTGGAGGTGCAGTCGTGAAAAAGGAAAGATGGTTATTTACTTATTAAGTAGTTTTTATTTTCAATTACTTGAAAAGAATTACACACATTAAATATTTTTCACGGCAATATAGAATTTATAAAATGACTCCTATATTCGTGAATTATAAAATAATAGGTAGGTAACATGTCTAATCATATAAGAAGAACTGTGAGAACAATACAAATTCGATCTGTTCTCGCTTTCTTGGAGTTATCCAACGGGCTAAATAAGAGCCCCAGAATAAAATAACTGTGATAACAATACAAATTCGACCTGCTTTCTATAATACACGATGTCTATACAGATAAAAAGAAGTCATGTCTACATATAGTGCAGAGATAGGATGAACCTGCAGAGGTCGAAATTCTCTTCACTAAGATTACAGTAGCCTTTACTATGTATCATTTGTATGAAATGGGCTGAGGTCCCCTTCCACGAAGTCTTCTCCTCTATTCCTGTTGTCAAATGGTTTAACTGTCTGTAAAATGGGATTTCTTTTCACTGAGGTAATCCACTTTGTTCTGGAACGTTCTCTGCCCTCCAATCTGGAGTAGGGCTCAGATTTAAGACATCTAGATTGATTCATCCTTTCAAAATGTATCCGTATATATGAGAAATATTGTAGTTGTAGCGATCTGGTAGAGATTGAGGCGAAATCTCTGGGAAGGTTTACCACTGATGAACAAAGTCTTCCTAATGTTTTTCTTTTACCTTCATTTTACATTAATTGTAGAAATTTATTACCACTGTTTACCACTGATGTACAAAGTCTTCCCAATGTTTTTCTTTCACCTTCATTTTACACTATTGTAGAAAATTATCTTTTTAAGATTATAAATAAATACTGCTGTATGATTCCATTCTCAACAAGTGTCAGTATTATTGGAATTTTATGGTATTATTTGGGTTTCAATTGATTTCAATCTCCTGGATATTAATCAAACAAATGCAACAAGTTTCTGGAGATTTCTTTGAGTTGCATGCTTCAGCATCCTAACGGCGTTCATGTATTTTTATGTACTCCTGTAGAAGGGCAGAGATACCTGAAAGCTTGAGATTATGTTTAATAAAGATAAAGAAATACATCTCCAGAAACCTGTAGCATTTGTTTGCTTATTTGGATGTGTTTATGCGTGAATATCTTGCGGTGTAAGTATGTCTTGCAAGTATCTCTATCCTTGTCCTAAACTACAAGTACTATCTTCAAATTCCAAAAATAACGTTATACGTAGTATAAACAGTAGTACAAACATCGTCCCTAAATGTCGCGTAGTACAAGTTTCAAAGGTAAACTTCATTGTTTATATACAGAGTAGCAAATACCTACTTCCTGAGACCTCTTGTTTACAAACATTCGAACACAGCGGGAGTGGATCAAACGATCAAGTTGCATAAGCCTTTGCTGACGTCTGATTCCAAATATCGTTTAAAAAAAAAAAAAAAAAGACGAAGGAAGTTCCGCGGAAAGGAAGTTTCCAAAAGGAAAGTGGATACCATTAATATAATGATTAACTGTTTTTTATAAAGTTAAGATGACTTCATCGAAATGAAAAGCAATTTTTTTTTAAATCTCTCTCTCTCTCTCTGACATCAATTTTTAAAATAATCTTTTGATAGGTGATATTTAAGTAATAAGTAATGAAGTTCTAAATGTGGTGAAAGACTCCTGAAGACTTTATTTGCTTTTTTATTCGAGCTAATATTTTTTAAAGACTTGATACTAATTTTTAAAATAATCTTTTGATATATGTAATATTTATGCAATGCACGATAAAGTTCTAAATAAGTTGAAAGAATCCAGAAGAACTTCTTTGCTTTTCTTTTTAGGGCTGATACACACAAACTCCCTCCCAAACTTGTCAATTTCAATTATTTTAAATAAAAACCAACTCTTTTTTTTTCGGGCAAAATAATAGATTTTTAGAATTTAAAAACCTCTTTCGTTTTCTTTCCCATAAAGCATAATACAAAATATAATAGCTAATAGCATTGTTTCATTTTATAAATAGCGTCTCAAAAAAATTACGCAAGAAGTAATTTTCATTAAAAAAAACAGTGTTTAATTGGAAATTGTACTTTCTTATTGATTCATAAAGAATAGGGTTAAGTATGTAATAGTATATTGGGTAAATGGCATCAAAGACTTTGCTGGCCCATACGTATTCTTTTGTTGAAAATTTACATGACCGTTTTGCATGAACGTGGATACATTCCATTGATATATTGTTCAATTTGCTCTTCCAAGACGTGGGTGGCTTTGTTGAGATAAACCTTACACTTAAAAAATTCCCCTAAAAAGTCCAACGGCGCTAAATCAATATCTGGACGGCTAATTCTGACCACCAAAATGGGAAATTATAAATCCAGGATATGACTCATGCAGTAATTAAATTTCGTAAAATAATAAGTGGTTAGCTTTTCTTGATTAATCAAGAATGGGTATTTGGCCAATTCTGGAATAATTAAAAATCAACGAGAATAATTGATATTTATTCCGATAGATGGCGCAAGCCATCAGTAACTTTCAGTTGCACGATAAGATGTCTTTATCTTTTTCATAATTTAGTAATTAAATTGTTTCTTGGGCTATTCAGGAGACGATTTACCCGTTTGGTAAAACAATATTCGTTTCATGATTTAAGTGAATTGTGATTTTTTATAATAAGTATATTTTTTTATTAAGTATCATTTTCGATTGAAAGCTAGCACTTTTAATAATAAAAAAAAAGAAACTCATTCTGAAAAAAAAGTTTTTATTTTTATTTTAACAAGTAACGCTTGACAAACATTCACTCAAGAAGAACTAGGGTAAAACAGGTCATGTAGCTAGTTATTTTTTATTTATAAAACGCAGAAGAGATTGCCATTAATTAAGGGGGAAAATGGCGACAATATATGGCAGAAGATAAGGGAAAAGAAGTACCAGTAAATGTCAGTCGAATAGTCGTCTGCAATATATTATCACGTGACAGCTCCCTTGTAGGTTACATACAAATACGTAAAAATCTTAATAAAAACAACTTGCAAAAGTTTTTTTTTTACTTAACTATATACTTAAAATATATTAGCATTCAAATTATTAACTTTCACTCGATCATATTATGTAGAGCATGCCAATTAGGTGATTGTAAACTCGAAATGATTTCTTGCCATTAAAATAAAAAAGAGAGATTAGTGTTATGGAACAAAAGATAGAACTTTTATAGAGAAAGAAAACTATTTTTTAACCATATAAAATCTCCATAGTCAAAAATTTTATAGACAAAAATAAACAAAACATCATAGACTTTTAATTTATTTAGAAAAAATTATTCCATTTTATAAACAATTTTAATCCGATTATATTATAAGAGAGCATATATAAAGATAATTAGTTGAAAAGTCTCTTTAAAATATTTTAGTTTTTATAACCTGAGTACTTTTTGTGTGTGTTTAAATAGAGAATAATAATAAATTATTAAAACTTATTTTAACCATTACTTTGTGCTTTTCTTGATGATTAAGAAGTCAATAAAATGTTTGTTTAAAATAATATTTTTTCTTAAATTTTTCATAATATATAATTTGTTTTCTATATTTTTGGTTAATATCCAAAAACTTATTACTTCATATTTGTACGCTTTCGATTTTTTAAAGAAAATTCGTTAAATTTTAGATAGGAATTGAAAAGATTAAAAATAAAGTTAAATAATTGAGAAACTATATTTTAATATTTATAAATTAAGAGTATAAATTTGAGTATAAAATTAATCCTATTTTAGATTATTAACGGCCGCAAATTTTGAAAGACAAATGTTTATTTAACAAAGTCAATAAAACATCCAGGGCTATGTTTCTTGTATTATTGTCAAATATTATTAAATACAAATTATATCTCGAATCAAATATTATCGAATATTATCAAATATAAGAAACTTAGCCCTGGATGCTTTATTGATTTTTATTAAATTATAAGTCACAGAGGAAGAAAGTTTATTATAAATGACTATAAGGATTGAAAAAAAAAAAGACGAAAAAACAAATATTAAAAGACCTAGATTTATCAAGATATAAAATCATATATTAAACTATAAACCATTAAAAATATAGATACTACATACTATAAAGAACATTGTTTGAAAAATATAATAGTTGAAAAGAGGGCAGGGTAGATTAAAAAGAAGAAACGGCTAAAAATAAGTTTTCAAAGAGATAACTTATAATTGAAAATAAATAAATAGAGGTAAAATAATAAAAGGAATAGGGTCGTTCAATTGTTGTATTATACTTTATTTTCCAATTTAAAAATTATTATTTATTTATATAAAGTTAGCTTATATTAATTTAAAAAAAAACAAGAATTGTGATATATCACCTATTATTATTATTTTATAATTATCGATGACCCCAATTCTGACGATGGTAAAAAATTGACAATTTCAAGCTTCTAGTTTCATATATCATTAACTTATAAGAAACAAATAGAACGAGGACAATGAGAGACAGACTAAAAAAAAAGACACGAAAAATCTTAGTTTCTCTTAAAGATAGTCCCTCATTAGAGGTTAAATCATATCATTTAGGAATTTATAAAAGTGGTTGCTCAGGGAGAGATTTACAGAAGGAATACGTGGAAATATTATGTGTGTAGAAATTACTCAATGTATATTATAAC